AGTTCTGGAAATGAAATAGTTGAATGTGAATTTTCTGCTGTGTGCCTGTGTGCTCCCTCACATATATCTTGGCACAAACATGACACATTGATTTTAATGTCCGGAGGGAAATCTCAGAGATAACTTCTCTATTCTTGGTCTTTTTCTTCACCATGTGTGATGACATACACCAGGTTTTTGTAGTCCAGGTTTCCGGCTACATCTGGAGGGAAAGCTGCAAACATCTGTTCCATCTGTGGGTAGGAAATAATAAAAAAAAAATCATTATTTTTACCGACTAAATAAAAAGAAAATAAATAAGAAATAGAAAATGAAGAAATACAAATGCTGCTGTCAGACGTAGATCACTTACCTCTTCAGGGGAGAACCTGTCTGCCTGCGTCGTCAGCATCTCTGTGACACTGTGAAGGAAAGAAGTGATGAGCAGAAGGAACATTCACCCCCCCCTCCTCATCATAGCTGTTACTCACAACTCTTTCTTAAATGTTCCTTTTCCTTCCGGATCGAAGACTTTGAAAGCGTTCAGAATGGTCTCCTCTGGGTCAGCACCTAAAGGCGCACGGCTCAGAGTTCATTGAAAATCAAAACAAAGATACATTTCCTATAATCGCCATGGCCCAGCTGTCAGTGTATTAGGAACACCTAGCTAATACTAATGTAACCTATCACAACGATCAAGTAATAAATCCTCCCTTCCTGATTGTTAGAATGTCTGTGTTATGTTGACAGCTGTTTCTATTCATTTGTCCACAGGGTCAGGCAGGGTCTCTGGAGCCTTATCAGGAGTCCATTGTTTGAGCAACATACTGGAAGAAACCTGTGTCCCCCTATGTAAAGGCATGGCCTAGTGCTCATTGTGGGAACTGTTGGGTTTCTCTAAGATTTTAAGGTCTTGACCTTCTATGTAAAGTGCCTTGAGATAATGTATATTATGATTTGGCGCTATACAAATCAAATTGAATTGAATTAAATTAGACTACATTAGTTTTAGCAACCTGATAAACCGACAACTGACAGTATAATTATGTTCTGGACTGTGCAGCACTCCCAGCTCACCTTTTAGTTTCTCTCCAAACATGGTGAGGAAGACAGTGAAGTTAATCGGCCCTGGTGCCTCCTTCAGCATCTCATCAATCTCCTCTTGCTTGACATTTAAACGGCCTAGACAAGGATGGCAGACAAGGTGGAGCAGACTTTAAGGGCTGCAGCCATTGATCATATCCATCATTACATATTCTGCTGCTTATTTTATAAATGATTTAGTCATTAAATACTACAACTAATACAACTACTATTACTACTACAATAATAATACTAATACAAAGTCACAAAACTGTACACAGTCATAGATATTGGTCTCCTAAATATGCCAGATTTTTTTCATTAAGATCCATGAATTTTTTAAAGGTTTCTGAAGCCCAGTATCAGTCCAGATCCAAAGCCAATTCAATCTATTTTCACATTAGACAAGGAAAAGCTACTATTGCTCACATTTGAGAAACTAGAAGTGGTGAATGATTGACTTTTCAAAACATTATTGGACATATCAAAATAGTTTCACAGTTTGGTACATGTGTGTGAAAATATAACAGAGTGAAATCCCACAACAGAAAAGACTGATGATCCTACCTAAAGCTGCAAACGTGTCTCTCAGGTCATTCTTGTCAATGAAACCGTCTCTGTTTTGGTCCATGATGGTGAAAGCCTGCAGAGGTCATTAGGTGTTACATGTTGTTTCTCCAGTAAGTATTCACCACACAGCGAAGGGATCAAACTCCATGAAAGAAAACATTTGGCGGGGGCACTAACTTCTTTGAACTCCTGGATCTGGGCCTGTTCAAACATGGAGAAGACGTTGGAGCTTCCCCCCTCCGCTCTCTTCTTCGCTTTCTTGGGCGCCTGCAGGGTTCGACAGCTCTAATTACATCCAATACTGATGGCACAATCATCACCTGGCTCTGGCTTCACTCATTATCGGTTTTTACTGTGACACATGCGCTTATGATAACGAGCCAATGATCTGCAAACTTACCGCAGGGTTGGGGGGCATTAATTGCTCGACAGGCGAGGTTTATACAGACACGCATTTCATTAGGGAGGATTACAAACACTGTCAGTTTGTTATGGAAATATTTACTCAAGCCTCCAATATTTTGTGAGAATGCAGACTAAGCCTGGGGAGGGTGTGGTCCGCTGCTCTGCTCTCCTACTGTCCCAGGATCACATGAGGGATTATTCTGTAGGGCCTGGGTGATGACAGGATGGTACACTGTGGCTTGTTTGATCAAAAATCCCTCAGAGGCGAGGATTATGTTGATCTATTTACATGACTGCCAAGGAAGTGTGAAAAACAGTCTGAGGGGATGCGGAGCACTGACACCACACTGCTTGGATTCGCGGGCCTCTCGACAGCTGCTGTCTAACCCTCGTTGTGGATTAGCTCTCGAGCAGTTGTGTATCTGGTGGACGGGACCTTATTATTTCTTTATTTTGTTTTAAGAGGATTCGTGCAATCATGGGATGAGAGGCAGAGTTCTGCTGTTTCTTGGTGTGACTCAGTGCAGATCATGAGACCAACATGAACTTTAATGTTCTAAATAAATGTGATTTTTGTTGTTTCCTCTCACTTTCTCTGCTCTTCTCTTGTCTCCTCTCTTCTCCTTTCCTTTCCTGTCCATTCGCCTCATTATTTCCCCCCCCCTTCCTCTCCTCCTCTCCTCTCTCCTAACCTCTTGATCTCTTTTTGTTTCTTCTCCACTCCTGCCCCTTCTCTCATTGTTTCCTATCCTTTCCTCTGCTCTACCTGTTTTTCCTCTCCTCTTCTGTCCTTCTTTTCTCTCCTCTCTTGTCCTTCCTCTCCTTCCCCATTCTGTCTCTCATTCCCCTCTCTGTTCCTTTTCCCTCTCCTCTCCTTGTTTCCTTCCCTCCATTCTCCACGCCACAGTTACACACTGATTTTTAAAATTTCATCATTGTGAGTGGACAAAAATAATCAATAACTTGTCAATAGGACGACTGGAGTACTGTCCTATTGATGGGGTTTTGCTGATCTGTATTCTGTGCATAAGCATATTGACATGGAATGTATTGATTCATTATCAATGGTGTGAGTAGAGCAAAATGTACAATTCATCAAAACGTATCATATACAGAATACAATATATTGTATTCTGTATATAAAATGATTTATAAATAACTAACAATAAGCATGCAGCAGAAACAGAGTGTCTTTATAGTGTGGTGATACTGTAAATAAAATGCAGTGACGATGAGATCTGTGTCCACTCACCATACTTCTGTGGTAGCTGGATGAGGACCGATCAGTATCCCTGCTGCTTTATGATGGAGCAACACACGAAACAAGGGGTAGATATACTGACCCCTCCACCCTCTATAATGTCGCATGCTTGACGACTATAAATACTCCATGCCTTCTTTGGGTAGAGACCCAGGTAAAGAGGACTACCCCTCACCCCTGCTATGCACCCACCATTGTCTGAGTTCATGAGATTTAGGGATAATAGCCAAACACATGCCCCATTACTGAGACCCAAGAATAACAACAGGACATAGCTCTGGCTCAGGAAGGACAGTTGTTTTTGAGACTGACCGTCGCACTTGATGGGATCCATCATCCAGCTGTCCTGTCAGAGCTCCACTGGGACAGAAGCTTTGCCCTGATGGGAGCTGCTGTTTCTTGGTAGCACAGTGAATGGAAATGTTAGCCAAAGCATGTGAGCCCTGGTAAGACTTTTCATAGACAGCGTGTCATACTATGCTGTGGAAAATGTTAGTGGGCAGCATTGTTCTTATGATGATGAACAATGTTTAGTTTTCCACTTTGGTTGGACAGTTATTATCCACTAAAGTGTCACACATGTTCTGTGTAATGTAATAAACATGACCTGGTTCAGAACACAGAACCATCTGTGGCTGAATGTATGAAGGGACAGTTTGGTGGCAACAGTGAACACATGTAGTGGAGCATGTGAAGAGTCAATAACAGAAAGAGGTGTATCTACAGGTCCAATCCCAAATGTATTACCAGAGCAGCACCTGTTCTAAACTGCCTGTTTGATGGCCTATGTTACTATGTTTCATTCTCTAAACAGAACTGGGAGCTGGCAAAACAACTTTATCGAATCAATCACGTAGACAGAACTTGTTCAACTGGTTCGACACACTTTGCAAATCTGAGTCACACATTTTGCAAAACCCATTCACAAAACACATTCAGCAGTGTGGTGCACTTTGACCCAGACTGACACACACAGGCCCCAGAGGGTTAAACGCAACTAACTAACCTGTCGTCAACGTTAACACAACCACTAAAAACAGTCATGTTACTTTAGGACCATACAACACTAAATATTACCAATATTTCTGAAGGGCTACGGGATTATTGGCTCAGACATGAGCAGAGAGGTCATGAGCAGGCAGAGCATCATGTGTTGTAATTTAGAGCTTCCACTGTGGTCAACAACATGTGTTTTCTCAGTGTTTGCCTTCCACCATACTCTCCCTAAACCCTGTAGAAGAATTATTCTCAGCATTGCAGTGGAGACTGAAGTAAATATCCCTCAGTAAATGTTTTCAGTAAAGATTTTTGTTTCTGCTTTGCTCAGATTGCAGTGCTTTGCATTTATTTGTGTAGTGTGTAACGATTGCTGAGTAGTGTCTCTGCATTTGTTGGCTTTGTGCGTTATCTGAGGGCAGTGTTTGGTTTTGGTTAAACATAAAATATTTTGAATCAATTGTCAAAGGTTTTGTGAGTGTAGCTTGAATTTTGGAGTTTGTGTTTGCTGTCTTGTGAAAAGGTGTTTCAGGAAATGAGTTTTTGCAATTCAGAAAAACTGTAATGCTCTGGAGCTGTTTGCCATTAGTGAGTCCTCCTCAAACAGTTCTGAAATATACTGTCCCTTTCATTGTTCGTGTTCTGATCGTACATTGTGCTTTTACTTTGTAGACAAATTGCTAAATAGGATCAGCACATGCTACTCCCATGCATGTCTGCGTCAGTCCAATCTGGTGAAATAGGAATGATAAAATTATCAAAGTGCTCTGGGTTTGATCAATATCTGGTTATTCCCAACCCGTTTGACCCAGCTGACGACCGCTACAGTACTTTATCCAAGGACCAACAGGAAGATGTGTTCAACTCGGTCCACAGACTGAAGGCCCACCGCCCTGCCTCTACTGACTGCTGCAGCGCACTGGTCACCACTTTATCAATTTTTTATTGAAATCATCACGTCTAAATTGTACCATTTCAACACAGCCCCTCCCTGCACCATGAAGTATGCACATGCCAACTGAACGATTCACAAAATATTTGTGTTCCACCGACAGACAGACAAAGAAGACAGATGATTGTGGAATTAGTGTGGTCGATAATTTTAAGTAGATACACAGTACATTCAGTGAGTATTCAGTCCCCTTCACTTTGTTCTCGTTATGTTGCAGCCTTATGTGAAGAATCATTCAAATTAATTTTTACATCAATCTTCGCTCAATACTCCACCATGAAAAAGAAAAAACAGAAACTTGAAATTGTTTGCAAATTTATAAGAAAACTGAAATATCACATTCAGATCCTTCAGTCAGTATTCACATGAAGCCCCCACAGCCATCACAGCCTCACGTCTTCTTGTGTATGAGAAGACACCAGGATTTTCTGCCACTCTTCTCTGCAGATCCTCTCAAGCTGTCAGGATGGACGGGAGCCATATCCAGCGCCATTTTCTTGTCTTATCTCTTCAGGGTGCTGTGTTGGGTTCAAATCTTAACGAGTTGTCCCTAACCCTCTCCTCTATTAACTTGGCAGTATACTTGGAGTCATTGTCCTGTCCTGTTGAAGGACAACCTTTGTCCCCTCTGAGGGACTGAGCGCTTTGAGGCGGAGTTTTATTAATTCAATCTTTGTCTGTCTGTTCAGATTTCCCTCAACCCTGTCTTGTCTCCCCGTCCCTGCTGCTGAAAAACGCCCACACAGCATGCTGCACCATGCGTCACTGTTAGCGTGCTGTCATGTGTCTTTCACTGAGAAGAGTCTTCCTTCTGTCCATTCTGCCATCAAGTTCAGATCAGTGGATTGCTGTAGTAATGGTTCGCCCTCTGGAAGTTTCTGGAGTGACCATTAGGTTCTTGGTCTCCTCTGTTACCAAAGCCTTTCTCCTCTGAAGTCTCAGTTTGGCAGTCAGCTCTAAGAAGAGCCATGGTTGTTCCAAACTTCTTCCAGAGTTTTTCCTCTTCACAGCCACCAAAGTGCTGCTGATTGTGGGAACTGTTGGGTTTCTCTATATCTAATACGATTTTAAGGTCTTGACCTTCTATGTAGTGTGCCTTGAGATAATGTATATTATGATTTGGCTATACAAATAAAATTGAATTGAAATGAATTCCATTCCTTTAAGAATTATTGAGGCCACAGTGGCTCTTGCGACCCTTCAATGCAGCAGAACTTTTTTTGTAGCCTCCCACAGATCTTTTGCTCAACACCATCCTGCCTCCGAGTTCTACTGACAACTGAACTTTCGCTCACGTTCACTTGTAAGAGCAAGGGCGCGAGTAAAACATTTGCTCTCTGTGGCAAGGAAAAACTTAAGCTTGGCTTTGTGATGGACTTCAACATTTGGTAAACTTTGTGACATTCACCTGCATTTGCGTATGTGTGACCATTTCCTTCTAGACCTTACACTGACAGATGTGTGCCAATCAACTGAATTAACTCTAAAAAACTCAAATGAAGGTGTAAAAACAAGTTGATTAAGAGAAATGGAAAGCACTCAAGCTCTAAGTGTCACAGAAAAGGAACTCAATACTTATGTCGATGCAATGTTTTATTTTTTCAGTCATAATAAATTTGCTAATGCTCAGTTTTTCACTTTATCATTATGGGGTATTTATTGAGTGTAGGCTGATATGGGAACAATAGTCATGTTCACTAAAGCAATACCTTTATGTATGAAAGCTAACAATACAATCTACAGCCTCAAGCATATCTCATTTAACTTCACACACTCACAATGAATATTTTTAAAATTGCTCCTCCAACACACACACACACACACACACACACACACACAC